ATCGAGGCCCGCAGCGCCAACAATGCAGATCCACAGCTCAATCGCCGCGAGCCCGCTGACCTGATTGAGGCCCTCGCCGAGTGTGACGCGGCAGATCCATGGCGCACTCATTACCGACTCCACCATGCGGGCCATCCCGCTCGTCGGATCGCACGTCTCGCCGGCAAATTCTTCAACATGGCGGCCCTGAATCCCAATGCGCCGCCTTCAGCCATGATCCTGACATCTCTCTTGTCACTCTCTTCAGATCACTTATGTTGAGCTTAATACATGTCAACTCTTTCCAGATCCGAGTCCACCTATATCTCCCCATTTCATTTGCTTGTCGATCCATGATCTCTCCAGTGATCCATTCTTAGCTCCACAATCGAAAGTTAACCTGTCCATTCCATGCCCATTTCGTAACCAATCTCGCTTTGTTTTGATCCCCTGCTGACATATCGTCACATACAAATTCATATAACCTCTGTCCTCCGATCTGCAACCTCCTTGCAGATCCATCGACATTTCACCACACTGGCGACCAGCTCACCGGCGTGGGTTCCGACCTCACGGCTCTTCGTGCGACTGCATCACACCGAACCGGTTGCGACTAGCACGATCTCGCAAGAATTCATGCAGAAGAGCACCGCAGTTGAGATCTGCTTCGTCTATCCAAGTCGGATCTCATACCCTCGCCAGTATACCAGGAATTCTCTGTAGATCCGGCCATATCTCGTCCTCTTGCCGGTTCTCACGTCTGAGATCCGCTCCACTTCATACTCGTCTGGATCCCGATCCTGGATCCAGCTATCATCGGGTAGGAGAGCTTCGTCAAAATCTATCCGATCCCTATCTGCATCCTCTAGGCGAGCTACTGGTCGATCTGGAAATGTCTTGACCAGTTTGATCTTCGAGACATGCACCACCGGGAAAATGCTGTATGCGGATCCTGCAATCTCCAACCTCATACTGCACGTTCTCCGATCTTCTCCGCGACGCGAAATGGCCCATGCCATAGGTGTGCCAGTTTCTTCGCATATCCTTCGCGCACTCGATCTAAGTACAACCAGATCCTTGATCCAGCCTCCACGAGGTGTGGCTGTACCAGATCATTGTGGGTGTCGGCTCGATCCGCGATTGCTTCACGCAAATGCTGATTCACTTGTTCTCGGACTTGTCGGTAATACTTTTGCATTCTATACCGCCACCTTCTCGGATCTCGATCATGCCTGCGAGTACTCCCCACCGGGATCACCGCCTCCAGGGTAGATCTGGGATCCCAACCATGTATCAGGTAGAAGGGGGTTTCACCTCGGATCCGATCTCTTGCAGTGTTGATCGCAAAGGTGAGCCGCTCCGCATACTCGTCCCAATCTCGTTGATCTAGATCCTCCACATACATCTTAAGAGCTCTGGTAGTTGTCTGGACCATACGCTCCGCAGATCCATTGGCTTGGGGCCTATATGCCATAGTAGCCCAGGATCTTGTTGAACGACTTAAAAAAGTCGGACATAAAACCCGGCTCCCGATCATGTCGGATCACCTCGCT